TGTTGACCTGCAAAGTATGAAATTAATATTTTGTATTTTGTTTGGAAAACAAAAGGAGAAATTTGGTTGTATTGCTAGAGTCTTTGGTTTCTAGTATGCAAAGTTTACATCCTTTAAAATTAACCACAGTTTTATGCCATGAAATTAGGAGTACCAGGTTTTGCTCCCCATTTTTGTGAGGACTACTGAAAAGTCATTCTGTTGGAATTTAGTTCCTATTTCATAAATAACCATTTGGAGCAAACTATAAAGACGTCTTTTTCCCACTTGATAGCTCATTGTGTCAGTTAAAATCTGAATATTGCCCAGTTCGCGTGAAATCCTTTTGGGTTTCGACTTGAATGTTCTTTTATATATGAACTGTGCACAGCCCAACACTTAGTAGTGTACCTTGTTGTTTTCCAGGATATATAATCAAGATTGAGGGGATGCTTTGGTCGATAACTTTGCTAAGGAAGTTTGATTCTGAACAAGCGCACATCGGTCTTGAATTAAGATTACAATTGTCACGTTATTTATTTCTGAGCCCAGATGCCTTATGTATGTTGATGCCTTTCTTGTAGAACATTTACAAGTTCAAGGAGCGGTTAGGTGCTGCGTGTTTTGTGTCCCGGAAAAAAAAATGACAAAGATTCCTGTAGTGGCAATTCAAAGAAATGGAATGGTTATATTTTGATGTTTGGTTTGAGGGATGGAATGGAATGGATTTGTTCATCTCACCTAGAATTGGATTGGATTTCAGTTAAACAAAAAATTGCTAAATAAAGTGGCCATCCATCCATCCATCCATGCAACAAAGGCTTGACACGCTCTACCAAAAACAAATCCCAGAGAACCGAAGGCGCGTGAGCAATTGGATTTCATTCATCCATGAATGCATCAATTAGATTCCAGAACAAACCGAAGGCTGCACGCTGGCAGAGAACCAGAAAAGAAAAGAATCAGACTCAAATAGCAGAGATCAACAGCCCCCCTGCACAAGATCCCGGCATGCTCAGGCGCGGCCAACGGCCACC